GGAGCTAATTTCTCCTCCTTGGGAGAAAAAGAAACAGGGTCTTCATATGTTGCCCTTTTGGGGAGAAAAGGCCCCGGGGGTGACTTTAAGGAGACAAATGACAAGAAGAGAAAGGGTTAAGAATCTTACCCTAACCCACCCACATTATACATCCACTCCTGATTTTCAGCTTTCGGGTGGTTTAATTTAAAAAAAAACAAAAACCCTTTGACGACGGATGCACACACCTCCACAGAAATGTCTTATTTGTAAAGACAGGTGATACTTTATTATTTCTGAAGGTAGGTGATACTTTATTACTGAGCTGGACTAAGGATGAAGGGGCACTTCCTTCTCCCAGAAATTATATGGAGAATTAAGCGGCCCCCAAGATTCCAAAAGGTGGCCATCCCGGCTTTAAGGTGTATCTATCAGAGCAGTGACACTTTTGCACCATTGAACATATTAAACTCGGAAACAGCTATCTGCTGATTAAAAAGAGGCCTGTAGTTAAAGGGAAATCACTCATCACACAACCAGTATGTAGGAGTGTGAGTACTTTGGGTTGGGGACGGTGTTTGTGGCTCTCCCACGGTTCATTACCAAGATCAACCTGGTAGGAAATAAAGCCAGGCTGGCTGAGGTGCCCTAGAACAGAGAGCTTCTCCTCGAACTTCTTCTGCGTGAGGGAGACTACCCAAGTGGAGAACAGCATTTCTGCCCCTCTCCCTCTCTGAAGTATAGGACCCATGCCCGTGTGTGTGTCCTTTTCCTGGAAGAGTCACAGTGTAAAATCCTAGAATGGAATAAGGCTGCTTGACATGGGTGGCCATTAGTAGGACCCCATTCTTCCCACTTTACAAGATGCCACGCTGTGCCTTGCCTTGTAAGAGCAGCATGGATTCACTTGGCACAAGCCTCTCTTGCCTCACTGCTGCTGACCGCACACACACACACACACACCTGCCTCTTCCCTGATCAAAAGCTGATGTGGCACAGTGGCTAAGAGAAAGGAGCCAGGAACTGGGAGTTCTGCAATTTACATATCTGGTGAAGTCAGCAGGCAAGTCACTCTCACTCATCTCTCAGCCCTCCCCCACCGATTTCCAAAAGGAAGACTGGCCTAACTCACAAGGCTGTTGGAAGGATTTCACTAATATCATGAGTGTAAAGCACTTTGAACACAGTAAGCATGTTATAAATGCCAAGAATTAATACAAAAAACAGGGACCTCTTCTGTAGGACCTTGATTCCTGGAGAGTGGAAATAGGGGTCTGGTTTAGATGGACCCTTAGTCTGATTCTGTAGCCATCCAACAGTTCTGTGTACAGAAGTAACAGCCTCAGTGGATTGTATATTGCAACACAGTATTTGTTACGGCAGGTTTAAAGCAGAAGTAATCCCCTCATGGATCACTGCCTTGTCGTGGCGAGGGGGCTTGCGCGGTTCGATGAAGCTGTGGGCTATGCCGTGAAGGGCCACCCAAGACGGACAGGCCACAGCAGAGAACTCAGACCAAGCGTGATCCACTGGAGAAGGAAATGGCAACCCACTCCAGTATCTTTGCCAAGAAAACCCCATGGACAGTAACAAAAGGCTAAAAGATATGACGCCAGAAGATGAGCCCCTCAGGTCGGAAGCAGTGTTCCCTCTAAGCTGAGTTAGCGTGAGCCAGCTCATAGGTTTTCAGCCTCCGGCTCACACCTTTTTGTCTCAGCTCGGGAAGGAGGGCTCCAGCGCAAACTAATGTATGCAGCAGCCAAATCACTCGCTCACAGCTTTAATGCCAGGAGCTCACCAAGTAGGATTTTTGCTCACAGGACTCCACAGCTTAGAGGGAGCACTGGTCGGAAGGTGTCCAATATGCTACTGAGGAAGAGCAGAGGGCAAGTACAAGTAACCCCAGAAAGAGTGAAGCGGCTGGGCCAAAGCCGAAAGGACGCTCAGTTGTGGATGTGTCTGATGGTGAAAGGAAAGTCCGATGCTGCAAAGAACAATATTGCATAGGAACCTGGAATGTAAGATCTATGAATCAAGGTAAGCTTGACGTGGTCAAAAATGAGATGGCAAGACTGAACATCGATATCTTAGGAATCAGTGAACTAAAGTGGACAGGAATGGGCGAATTTAACTCAGAAGACCATTATATCTACTACTGTGGCCAGGAATCTCGTAGAAAAAATGGTGTGGCCTTTATAGTCAACAAGAGAGTGCAAAAGGCAGTACTGGGATACAATCTCAAAAATGACAGAATGATTTCTGTCCGATTCCAAGGCAAACCATTCAACATCACAGTAATCCAAGTCTATGCCCCAACCACTGATGCAGAAGAGGCTGAAGTGGACCGGTTCTATGAAGACCTACAACACCTCCTAGAACTAACACCAAAAAATGATGTCCTCATCATCATAGGGGACTGGAATGCTAAAGTAGGAAGTCAAAAGGTAACTGGAATAACAGACAAGTTTGGCCTTGGAAAGCAAAATGAAGCAGGGCAAAGGTTAACAGAGTTTTGTCAAGAGAACACACTGGTCATAGCGAACACCCTTTTCCAACAACCTAAGAGGCGACTCTACACATGGACATCACCAGATGGGCAACACCGAAATCAGATTGACTATATAATTTGCAGTCAAAGATGGAGAAGCTCTATCCAGTCAGTAAAAACAAGACCTGGAGCTGACTGTGGTTCAGATCATGAGCTACTCATTGCAAAATTCAGACTTAAACTGAAGAAAATTGGGAAAACCACGAGGCCATTCAGGTTTGACCTAGATCGCATCCCTGATGAATATACAGTAGAGGTGAAGAATAGATTCAAGGGTCTGGATTTGATAGATAGAGTGCCTGAAGAACTATGGACAGAGGTTCGTGACATTGTACAGGAAGCAGCAATCACCACCATCCCAAAGAAAAAGAAATGTAAGAAAGCAAAGTGGCTTTCTGATGAGGCTTTACAAATAGCAGAGGAAAGAAGGAAAGCGAAAGGCAAAGGCGAAAAGGAAAGATTTACCCAACTGAACGCAGATTTCCAGAGAACAGCAAGGAGAGATAAGGAGGCCTTCCTGAATGAACAGTGCAAAGTAATAGAAGAAAACAATAGAATGGGAAGGACTAGAGATCTCTTCAAGAAAATTGGAGAAATCAAGGGAGCGTTCCATGCAAAGCTGGCCATGATAAAGGACAAAAACGGTAGGGACCTAACAGAAGCAGAAGAGATTAGGAAAAGATGGCAAGAATACACAGAAGAACTATACAAGAAAGACCTCGATGTCCTTGACAACCACGACGGTATAATCACTGACCTCGAGCCAGACATCCTGGAATGTGAAGTTAAATGGGCCTTAGAAAGCATTGCTAACAACAAAGCTAGTGGAGGTGATGGTATTCCAGCTGAGCTATTCAAAGTCTTAGAAGATGATGCTGTTAAAGTGCTGCACTCCATTTGCCAGCAAATTTGGATAACGCAACAGTGGCCACAGGATTGGAAAAGGTCAGTATACATTCCAATCCCAAAGAAGGGCAATGCCAAGGAATGTTCAAACTATCGCACAATTGCACTCATATCACACGCTAGCAAGGTCATGCTCAAGATCCTACAAGCTAGGCTTCAACAGTACGTGGATAGAGAACTGCCAGAAGTACAAGCTGGGTTTCGAAGAGGTAGAGGAACTAGAGATCAAATTGCCAACATTCGCTGGATTATGGAGAAAGCAAGAGAGTACCAGAAAAATATCTACTTCTGCTTCATTGACTATGCTAAAGCTTTTGACTGTGTGGATCACAACAAACTATGGCAGGTCCTTAAAGAGATGGGAGTACCAGACCACCTCACATGTCTCTTGAGAAACCTGTATAAGGGCCAAGAAGCAACAGTCAGAACCGGATATGGAACAACTGATTGGTTTAGCATAGGAAAAGGAGTACGACAAGGATGTATATTGTCACCTTGCTTATTTAATATATATGCAGAGTACATCATGCGAAATGCTGGCCTGGATGAATCACAAGTGGGAATTAAGATTGCTGGGGAAAAGATCAACAACCTCAGATATACAGACGATACCACTCTAATGGCAGAAAGTGAAGAGGACCTTAAGAGCCTCTTGCTCAGGGTAAAAGAGGAGAGTGCAAAAGTGGGCTTCAAGCTCAACATCAAAAAAACTAAGATCATGGCATCCGGCCCCACCACTCCTTGGCAAATAGAAGGGGAAGTCGTGGAAGTAGTGACAGACTTCACGTTCCTGGGATCCCAGATCACCGCAGACTGTGACAGTAGCCATGAAATTAAAGGACGCCTGCTCCTTGGGAGGAAAGGGATGGCGAACCTAAACAGCATGATTAAAAGTAGAGACATCACCCTGCCAACAAAAGTCCGCATGGTCAAAGCAATGGTATTCCCAGTAGGGTCGCGAAGAGTCGGACTCGACTGTGCGACTGAACAACAACAACAACAGCAGCCTGGATCCCGCCAATGCTGACTACATGTCGTAGCACTGCATTCCTGTTATTCCGAAGGCAACAACTTAAAATGGATGAAAAATAAGGAAGGCTTGTCATTTTTCATAGGAACTCTTGGTTTCATGCATGTGCAGTTATGGAAATGTAATCAATTACTCGAGTGGTTAAGTGGCATTTCCTTAATAGAGTGAACGTCCTGCTGTTCTGAAGAGTGGATGGACCAAGCATCCAGGGCGTGGCCAACCCTCCGCACTCTGCACATGCTCCCAGCTTTAGTTTGCTCTGAGCCACCACCTCTTCCTGCCTTTTCCCACTGCAAGCAACAGTAACTGCAGTACCACCTTCAAGCTTGTCTGGCTAGAATAAAAAGGATACCTATATTGTCCTTCTCCCCATACTTTGGTTTAGTCCTTTCCCCCATACTTTCTTTTAGTACCAAACTAAGAACTCAGAAAGCTATAAGATGGATGTTCCTTTGGAATGTTTTCACAAGTGACTTGAAAAATAAGCTTTCATTGTCCGCTGGGACATCACCCACCACTCCAGCTGTTTTGCATTACCTTTGTTGAGGCTCTTCAAGCTGGAAAGATTACATCTCTGTACATGCTGGAAAAGTTGTGTCTCAATGTTGGCAACAATGGCGGAGGTCCAAGAATGCACTTTACATAGATGGTATCAGTTGACAGCTGAAACAAAAGCACAGAGTGGATGAAATGCAGCTACAAACCCACCTTTTGGCCTTTCTGAAGTAAAAGTACTCAGCTTCTGAGTATTCAGAAATGCACATTTGCCATTCACACATGCAACCACGTAGCATACAAGGTTTCGTGAACGACCCTTCCTGCCTGACCCAAACCATGTGGGCTCATTAAAGTAGGAGCCCATGTGATGTCATATCTAGTGTGCAACTGAGGACTCACAGGGCAATGAAAAGAGATGGCGGGGAATCTAACAGCAGCCACAGAAAGAGGAAGGGGTGACTCTGCTCCGGACTGCAGCACTGGGGAGGAAGGCTTACCACCCCCACCCCACTGTTTTACCAGTCTAAATTGCCCTCTGCAGTTGCTTTTTTGCCCCTGCGAGAAAGGAGGGATTCCAAATTAGGGAAACAATACAAGGGAAAGGATAAAGCCCCCTTCCTCCAGCACTATGCATCCAGACAACCCTGCCCCTCCACAGAGCTGCCCACATCCCCCCCCCCAAACTGCAGGAAATTGGATTATGGCTCCCTTCCTTTACATCCAGTTTGACATGGAGTGTAACACTCCAGGCCAGTCACAGACACACACACACACACACCCCTTGTAAGGTTGTTGGGAGGACAATTTGAGGGGATCCATGAATGCCACCCTGAGCCCAATGGCGGAGGGTGGGATTTAAAACGCAATAAATGATTGGTTCCAAAGGGCTACTCTTACAAGGCACTTTGCTGGAGACTAGAGCAGTCCCCTAAAACATGCTAATAATGCACAGCACTTGAATAATGCACACCACTCTAAATGATCCCCACATTCACCCCAAGAGCCACACAGAGGGAGTGGGGTTTTTTGGAGAACATGGAGGAGTTTGTTCAGCCAAACTTTGCCTTCTTTTCTGTTCCCCTCATTTCTTCTGGCTCTTCCTCCTCCTTTAGTGATCAGCTAAAATCCTTTCTTTGCCACCTTATGTTAAAATCTTTGTCCCTCTGCAGGGTTAGTCCCACCTGAGGAAGCATTTTTTTTGTCAGCACAGGGGTGGGTGGGGGAACAAACATACAGACAAGCAGAGAAGAAATTGCATTTGGTTAACAGATGCTGAAAAGTAGCAAGCTGGAGGAGGTCTGGTCGGGTACTTGCTAAGAATCCCATTTAGGACCTTCCATCTACCTCTTTCCTTACTCTGGAGTAGCTCTGCAGATTTCAGCAGAACTCCTGCTTGAAACATTTAGCAAGGTTTCTGCTAGGCATTTCAAACACTTCAAAATAAGTGACACACCCAAAGATTACACGCACACCATCACATCACATTTACTTCAAAGGCAAGCCTGTTGAATCCATACTTTCAAATAAGGAAATTTAAGACTGCCTCCTTATACATTCTTCAAAGGAAGGCAAGCTGCCAGTGAGGAAGATAAGCTGTTGAGAAAGGAAAGAGTTAACGCAGAAAGGCTACAGTTTTTATATGCAATACCATCCCATCCATTATTAACAAAACCAGTCCATTTCTAAAAGGCATTACATTCAGCTGAGATTACCTCGAGTTTAAGTATGTTTAATGCATGCAACGCTCCAGTCAAAAACAATCCGCGCGGTTTCCTTGCAAAGCTGTCCCATTATTAATTGAAACCCCTTTTAAAAGAGGCGGCAGGGAAAGCTGGAAGAGACTAAAGGTAAGCAAAGGCATGTAGCAGCAGACCTGCCCAAAGGCTACCTACAGTGGAGTGGAAGCTTGCGGAAGCTCTCCCAACCTGGTCAGTCCTGGAGTGGGAGACCTCCTGGGAGTTCCAGTGCTGCCTTGGATTCCATCAGGGTGGGCTATGAAGTCAGCAAATGAAAATGAAGGAGCTGCAGCCCATCAACTCTTTCTTCCATGCAGAGTACAACACACTTCCATATGACTCTCCCAGTCCCAGAGTCAATCGTCTTTTGACTGAGGCGCCCAGAGCACAAAATCGCCACCTTTATGCCCTCTCCATGAATCCCTTCTGCACGTGATGCTTAAGCTTCACCGACTAATTCCAGAGAACTAGAGGGAGATTGCCAATTGCCAGAAAGGAGGGCAAATCTGGTGTTGCTAAAGCCCACGGCAGTCGCGTCTGCCTCTAGTGTTCTCTGACACAAACTGGGCATAAAAATAGAGGTGGCGGAGTCTCGTGATGCTCAGGGGACCTACCTGGCTGGCACCTGCACGGATTGATCAGCCAGTGGGAAGGAGGTGGCCCCAAGCGTCCAAGTAGCAAAGGAAGGGAACATGCACACAAGGGGGTGGGGTGGGGGAAGTAGACCCCCCCCCCAAGGATTTGGGAAAAGAGATCTCGGGGCCCACCCCTGCCTCCCCAGTGGAACGGATTTCTCAGGCGCTTACCGATGTCTTTTGCCCTGCATCCCCTTAGCCGGGACCGGGGGGGGG